TGGTATTTTTCCTTCATTGACTGGCTTATTTCACTTAGCATAATGCTCTCAAAGATGAGGGTCTTCAATCCGGGATCTGGGCCAGGCACCTGGGAGCTGGGTGTCTGACTGTCCTTTCTTTTCCTACGGCTACACATACCTCCACAACCTGGCCAGGTGTGTCCCAGCCACGTGTCCTGTGATGTCCCTCTGTCCTGCCCACCTCTACCGGTCGGCCCTCTCCAGCTGACCTAAGGCTCTTTGTACCCCTTCTGGACCACACTCTTGCCCTCTGTCTCTGTCACTAGAGGGGGTTGGGGGAGTTCCAAAGACTCCGTCTGTCCTTCCTCCCTGTGAGTTCTCATCAGATTCTTGCCGGCCTTCCCGGGGGAGAGCGGCCGATGGTCAAGAAGTGCGCCCCTTCCGTGAAGGTGGCCCCGTGGCTCCAGGCTGAGGAGGGCTTTGTGGGAAGGTGGACAATGATGCCCACTGGCTTTCTGATGACGGGACAGCAGGCTTCCGGGTTCTCTCCTCCTGTCACACCTGCCGCACCCTGAGGGCAGGCATAGGCACACACGCATCGCAATGGGGAAGAGACAGTGCCCGGGGGCTGGCAGTGAACATGTGATGAGCGTCCTCTGGCTAACAGGAGCTCTGCTGGGCTCCTGGTTCAATCACCAGGCCCTGACTCTTTGTAGCCAAGCATCAGAGTCAGTCCAACACATTAAGCCCACCAGTGAGTGCCTGGCTCATGCGGGAGAGATGGGAAAGGTCTTCTGATGGGGAGGAACATGGCGGTGAAAGACGTGGAGGGATAAGGTTGTTCTCACCCAGGCCTTCAACCCCGTTGACCCAGCCTAGCGGGAGGCTTATGGTCAGGACGGAAGCACGTGCAGGAGGCCCATGGGAAAGTCACGCTGACCGACCCACCCTTTTGGGAAGGACTCCTTTCCTGAGGGCTCACCACGTCTTTTCTCTCTGTTGTCCCTTCCAGATTCATGGAGGACTTCTTCCACAAGTTTCTCTACTCCATCAGCAACAGGTACAGGACCCTCCACCCTCCCCGGGCTTCTCTCTGAGTCTGAATGACTGCTGGGATGGAACGTGACAGGAAGAGGCTCCCCATGGGCCATCCTCATCCTTGTCCCTGTAGAGGGGTGGGTCCAGAGGAGGGTCTCTGACGAGGTCCCTGTTAGACATGGTTGGCTGAAGTCTTGTCTCCAGTGGGTTTCTGGGAGGAGGCTCAGCCAAGGCCCTCCCCTGTTGCTATGTGTCATCCCTGGAGGCCTCCTGGGACCTGCTGAGAGCCATGTGCAGACTCAGCCTCAGGGGATGAGAGTCCCCCTCCTCTCCTGTCTGGCAGACTTGGTCCCATCACCTCTGAGGGCTTTGCCTCAAGTGAAGCAGGACCTTGGAGAAGAAATAAGTGGCAAAGTGGGCCATGGTCTTGGCCTGTCCAAAGAGTCGCGGAACTCCATCCTAGATGGACCTGTGATTGCCTCCAGGTTCACTCACCAGTCCCTGACTCTTTCTATTAAAGCTTCAGAGTCAGGCCAACACCTCAAGCCACCAGTGAGTGCCTGCCTCATGGGGGAGAGATGAGGAAGGTCATCTGATGGGGGGGAACATGGCGGTCAGAGAAGTGGAGGGATGCAGCCGGTCTCTCCGAGGCCTTCGACCACAATGACACAGCCGAGCGGGAGGCTTGTGGACAGGCAGGGAGCACGTCCAGGGGCACATGGGAAAGTCACGCTGACCGACCCACCCTTTTGTTGGGAAGGACTCCTTTCCTGAGGCCTAACCAATGACTTTTCTATCTGTTGTCCCTTCCAGACACATGGACAACTGCTTCCACAAGTTTCTCTTCTCCAACAGCAACAGGTACAGCACCCTCTCCCCTCCCAGGTCTTCTCTCTGTGTCTGAATCACGCCCGGGATGGAACGTGACAGGAAGAGGCTCCGAGCACATGGGCCATCCTCATCCTTGTCCCTGTAGGGGGGTGGGGCCAGAGGAGGGTCTCTGACCAGGTCCTTGTTAGACATGGTTGGCTGATAACTTGTCTCCAGAGTGCTTCAGGGAGGAGGCTCAGGCAAGGCCCTATCCCGTTGCTATGGTCAGCCCTGGAGGCCTCCTGGGACCTGCCTAGAGCCATGTGCAGACTCAGCCTCAGGGGATGAGAGTGCCCGTCCTCTCCTGTGTGGCAGATGTGGTCCCATCACCTCCACTGGCTTTGCCTCAAGTGAGGCAGGACCGAGGAGAAGGAATAAGGGGCCAAGCAGGCCATGGTCTTGTCCTGTCCCCAGAGCCGTGGAACTCCACCTTGGGTGACCCTGGTGGATATGGGGGGAGGGCAGTCCTGCTCACCGCCCTGGGCAATCCTGGGTCTCCCTACCTGGGAGCATCCCTAGAGCTGGCAGGACAGGATGTCCTGGCTCCTTTCCCCGTGAAGGAGATGGATCCCTCGGCGCGTCCAAAACTGACCGCCTGGCCTGAGGCGTGGCCGTGAGGGAGGCCCTGTGTCTGGAACCAGACTCGGGCCTGGAGCTCAGCACAGACATGCAGAGGTGTCCCTGTGGCCCCTGAAGCCAGCTCACTGCCACCGAGAGGGTGTCTGGGGATTCCTTCCAGGGCAGCGGTCCCCTTTGTGTGGCAGTTGGAAAGCACCTCTCCTCTGTGAGGATGGTGTCACCTGGGGGCTCCAAGATAGTGACGCTGAGGAGACAACCTGAGAGCACAGAGGTCCTTAGTGTAGGACAGAGAGAGTGGGAGGGAGCAGGGGGAGCTGGGAGATGGCAGGTTGCCAATGAATGGAAGGAACGAATGGGGGCGTTGGGGATGGGGTATTAGGACCCTATGAAAACTCCTGAAATTGGTGTCAACTCTCAATATCAGAATGCGTCCAGGCTGAAACATGAGTGTGCACATTGATTGACCCCTTTTGTTGGGGTCATTCCCGTTCATTCTGTGGGGTCAACACCAGGGCCCTGGTGGCCTGTCCCAGGTATGACACTGGCTTCCATACACTGGACAGGAAGTCCTCGGGTTCCGGGAGGCAGGCCATGGCAAAGGGACAGAGGTTGTGGCTTTGGAAGGACTGAGAGGTTCAGGGCAGCACCTCTTCGTCCACAGTGAGTCCATGTGCACGGCATCAGCTCGTGTGTAGAAGCTGAGTGTCGTCAATCCGGGTCTGGGCCCGGCACCTGGGAGCGTGGTGTCTGACTGTCCTTTCTTTTCCCACAGCTACTCATTCCTCCACAACCTGGCCAGGTGAGTCCCAGCCACGTGTCCTGTGATGTCCCTCTCTCCTGCCCCCTCTGCCTGTCAGCCCTCTCCAGCTGACCCATGGCTGTTTGATCCCCAAGAGGATCACACTTTTGCCCTCCGTCTCTTTATCTACTAGGGGAAGGGGGATGCCAAAGGCTCTGTCTGTCCATCCTCCTTGTGAGTTCTCATCAGATACTTGGCGGCCATCCCTGGGGAGAGCGGCCGATGGTCAGAGAAGTGCCTCCCCTTCCATGAAGGTGGCCCCGTGACTCCAGGCTGAGGAGAGCTTTGTGGAATAGTGGACACTGATTCCCACTGGCTTTCTGATGACGGGACAGCAGTTTTCTGGCTTCTCTCCTCTCACACCTGCCGCACCCTGAGGGCCAGCATTGTCACTGTATCCCAAGGGGGAAGAGACAGTGCCCAGGGATGGCAGTGAACATGTGCTGAGGGTGCTCTGGGTACCAGTACCTGTGCTTGCCTCCTGGTTGAATAACCGGGCCCTGACTCTTTCTATCCAAGCTTTAGAGTCAGGCCAACACCTCAAGCCACCAGTGAGTGCCTGGCTCAAGGAGGAGGGATGGGAAAGGTCTTCTGATGGGGAGGTACATGGCGGTCAGAGACGTGGAGGGATGCGGCTGGTCTCTCCAAGGCCTTCGACCCCGATGATCCAGCCTAGTGGGAGGCTTATGGTCAGGCAGGAAGCACGTGAAGGAGGCACATGGGAAAGTCACGCTGACCGACCCACCCTTTTGGGAAGGACTCCTTTCCTGAGGTCTCATCACGTCTTTTCTCTCTGTTGTCCCTTCCAGATTCATGGAGGACTTCTTCCACAAGTTCATCCATGGCTTCCTCCTCTCAAACAACCGAAGGTACAGATCCCTTCACCCTCCCAGGGCCTCTCTCTGAGTCTGAATCTCGCCAGGGATGGAACGGGACAGGAAGAGGCTCCACATTGGTCATCCTCATCCTTGTCCCTTAAGGGGTGGGGTGAGAGAGCGCCTCTGATCAGGTCCCTTGTCTGACATGATGTTTGGTGACTTGTGTCCAGAAGGCTTGT